GTGGGGTTCAGAGACGTTGGTGATTCTGGGTTCTGGCATCTGCGGCTAGAAGAAGTGGAGCGGAGCATGACGCGGAAGTTAGGGCCCTTCTGCAAATGGACGTCCCCAACACCCGATGCCAAGCCGTAAAAGTATCGCTCCGAGCCAGGAGGCCAGTGGACAGGTGTGCACAACAACACCGGAGGCCACGTTTTTGGGGATCCAAGCCTTCATGTGCAACGTGGTAACTGGGGTGTGGGGTGCTGCTGGATATTCTGGTAAAGAAGTCTGCATCAACCACTGCGAGCCGCTGATCCACACGAGGCGATGTGCTGCTTGTCATGATGCCGGCCAGACGAAACAAGCTCCCTGCACCTGACCTTCAAGCACCCACCAGTGAATAATTGAACGAGCCTTGACAACCCCAGCTATTGTTAGGCTCCTGAGCAGGACACGTTCAGGCTGCGAGGATCATACGCTGTAGGAATAGGCGACGGTTTTGCATCCGGCCCGTTGTGTTGAGCGCAAGGCAGAGCGACTGTTGCCAGCCTCCTTCCGCGAGATTGTGCGCCTCGGTGCGTCGCTCAGAGCTTTTCGTCTCCCCTGAAACTTGCAATCCACCGCCCCTGTCTCCTTCAAGGCAGACATCTCACAGACGCACAGCTCGAGGCGCGAGTCAGGGATGTAGCAGCACTTAGAGACTTAGATCTCTTGTGGCCCTCCCTGATTTAGCAGAAAAGAAGAGAGCTGCAGAATCTTCTGCTGCCTGCCAGGCCATGTCGCGGGAAGTACCACCCGACAGCCCGGCTCCCAGTGATCTCTTCGCATCCGTATAGGGACCCTCACGATTCAGGATTCCCCGTTTACATTCAACACCCTCCCCAAAGTTAAATATCCCCACTGTATACCAAAGTGTACAGGAATATTTGACAGTACAGGACTGTCAATTAAAGGTGCGCGCGGCTGTCGGGATTTTCAAAAAGACTGCGCCAGGGATGCGTTGCAACGTTCTTGCGTATGATATATGGCACGGAGGACTCAGATGGGTGGTGGCCCAACTGTCCAATCTTCTTGGAGCTTCGATGAGCTTTGTGTGATACACGAATTTGTGCACAAACGCAAGCGGGCGCATAATCACTCTGCAGACCTGACCTGCGGGACGACTCGGCAGCATCTTTTAGCAACCTGACGTGACTTGCAAAGGAATAAGCATTTGAGTCCATCCGGCCTGGATTTCTGGAGGCTCCGATTGCGTCACGCTTTGAAAGGTGTAGGTGTTAATATCCAAGCGCCAGCTGTCTCACCACTAAAGCGGAACCTTCAAGTACGCAATAAGGTGGATGCTGTTGAGGCCCTCGACTAACCCTGAATTGCCCAAAGACTTCCCAGCTCACGTCACAAACCTTGCATGTAAGCCCACGCAGCTTGTACAAGGCCCATCCAGCATGGTGGGTGGCCTAGTCCAG